TTCGAAAAGGTAAAGTGTGTATATTAGCTTTTATATATACGCGAAAAAAAGTTTTATTATGTTTAAAAATGACTTTTAAAATAAGTAATTTTACTGTTTTCAACTGTAATGGAATTTGGAAATAAAATAAACATCTTAGAGAGTCACGAAAACTAACGTATACAGTGAATTTCATTTAAGATGCAATATACAAAAATATATTTCCATGTCAATACATGTCTGAAAACGCATGGTTAAACCCTATACTTTTTAGGTCTAGTGCTAGTTCTAGTTTTACACTATCACTAGAACTAGAACTAACACAAGACCTAGAACTAGAATCATTCGGGTTTAGCCGTCTTGAGAGACGTGTGGCTAAATCCGAATGTTTCTAGATCTAGATCTAGTGTTACTTCTAGTCCAAGAAATCAATTTCTCGTAAATATATTCGTATTTATTGAAAAAGTTTACAAATTCAGATAAACTTCATACAACTTCAGTAATTATGTAAAACGGGTAGTTTCGTTGAAAAATAAACATTTCACTTTATAAACTAATGAATATTTCAGTACAATTTTCCCTGGAATAGATTAAACAAATTTAAATTCTCAAAGTTATTAATTATAAAATCCATATCACTTTACCAATTTATATCATAAGCTCAGCTTTGAGAAAAACACGACCTCACTTAAAAGTCGTTAGACATATTTGAAATTTGACATACAGTGCTGTTATATAAAATGTCTCGGAGTTGAGTAGAAAGAAAGTTAGGATAGAAAATTGATTACAACATTTTTAGAACATTTTCAAAAATCAAATTTGTTAAATTCAAATTTAAAAACGAAAGATAATCAATTAAACGTAATAAAAATTGTTACCAACCCAAATTACTAAAATAACTGTGATACTTTTAGTGATTTTTTTAAACATCTTAATGTCATTTTGACATATCGAGAATTTTGTAAAGAAAATATATTTTGTACAGAAACTATATTGAGGCTATTATATCAATTGATCTTAGTGTTAGCAAATGACATTGCTCGATACGTTTGCAACACCACAATATAGCCAGCCAATGTATTTCCTGCATTTGAGGTAGACCAATGGTTATCTGAATGGATCCATTGGACTAAATCCACCTTGTGTGTATATGCTACGTATTAAGGGCATCTGTGTACGTATGAACACGATATCGAGAGCAGCACGTCAATTTCAGTAACCGAAGCGAACTGCTTTGATTAAATTACCATTCTCCGATTTTATAAGAGATCCTGTATTTGTTTACATAAACTTATTGGCTAAATCAGTAAAAGGAAAAGTTATTGCCCAGTTCGTTTTGTCCATTTTGAGGTGTGTTGATATGAAAGTGTGTTCACAGTGTGCTCCTTTACATACCGATACAACGTGGAATTTGCATATTGCCCAGATTTGTATGGCACGCGGGGATTCGTGTTTGATATGGGAATTTGAGTGCATGTGTGTGCTCATTACGTCGATGTACGTTTTTCAAACAACAATCGATGGAGCTTTTTAGATTAATTTTACAGGCAAAGGATTTCCTCCGTTATCGAATTGTTTTGACATCTCGATTTTAATATACGATTTATGAGAGATTAAAAGTTTTAATAATCTATAGAATACATTGTTTCAAATGGGTTCTATTAAACTCCAAATTTACATAGTATGCAAATAGTAGTTTAACTATTTTGAAATTCTCGTCGAAAACCCTACCTAAAATCCATTTAAATATTTGAAGTGAAGTTCTATCATATCAGAACAAAAGTTTTAGTTCACTTCGTAGCTTCCGCGTAAGAGGTAAAAGTTCATAAACGTTACCCTTAGTTCGTTCACAATAAAAACTAACGAGATAACCAAAGCTACAAAACCGAGTCTTGCTCGAACTTCCCTAAAAATCATAGATAATCCACGCAATTAGCTCTCCCGTTGCGACCTGTTCGAACTAAATTGTCCCCCAAGCTCATGCAAAATTACGTCAGACTCTGTGGTAATTTGCGACCATTAAAACTTTCCCTAATTACGCCCGTTTCCGCGGTTTCGACATGTTTCCATAGAGACCCGCGGCGTTTTGAAACAAAAAGGGAACAACGGGTTCCTTAATCGCTATCCGATTAAAAAAGCACCGCCGCATATCGTTATTAAAATTTTTGCCCTCCGGGGTGGTGCTTTGGGAAAAATCTCGCGGCGCGGTTGTCGTAATTGAATAAGGGGGCCGAGTAAAATGCGGCGAGCGGAAGAAAAGTGTAACGAACGCGCGGTCCTCTTTTGCGAGAAACGGAATTGTATAGACTTAAGAAATTTAATTCCGCCTTGGCGGCTCCGAGATATTCGGCTCCTCCAAATCTTTCCGGCGAATCCGCCACCTGAATTCATCCTTTTTCCATTCTTCCACCCCGTTTCTACATCACTGTATCAAGCTGATTGTAATAAACGAATTTCTACAATGAAACTCAACGAGAACAAAAATTTTACATAAGCCACTTTTGTTTTATTTTCAAATATTATCGCAACTTAACACTAAATTAGTTAGATGGTTAGTATGAAACGTTTCAGTTGGTATTTCCAATTTTGCATTGGTTAACAATCCCATCTAACTCATTAAAGTTTACCACATACACGGCTAGCTAACGTATCGCTTAAATTAACACAATCACGAAAGTTCTGGCGATCATCTAAACCGCGTCCGTTTCGGTATGAGAAGTTATCGGGGATGAGAACAAGTCGTAACGCATGGATAAATTCTGGATCTGTTTAATACCAAACTCTGTTTGGGATACAATTATTTGTGAAAGTTGCATATTCTAATTATGTATATGTCATGGAATAGAGATTTTATTAAACAATTAAAAATACAAAATAATTTTATCAACTTCAATACTCGCGCGCAGACTATTTGTAGATTCCGTAGAATCTAGAAACTTTCTAGTTCTAGGTCTAGTGTTAGTTCTAGTTTTAGTTGTTAGACAGCGCTAGGTTATTGTATATCTTTGTTGTTTTTATTGAACGAAAAGTAGAACTAACATTAGACCAATAAGCAACAATATTAGACTCAATAAAAATATGCAACAACCTCGCTCTGATTAATAACTAGAACTAACACTAGCACTGTCACTACAACTAACATTAGATCTAGAACTAGAAACATTCGGGTTTAGCCACACGTCTCTAAAGACGGCTACACCTGAATGTTTCCAGTTCCAGTGTTAGTTCTAGTAACAGTGATAGTGTAAAACTAGCACCAACACTAGAACTAGAAACATTCGGGTTTAGCGGCACGTCTCTCAAGACGGCTAAAGTCGAATGATTCTAGTTCTAGATAAAGTGTTAGTTCTAGTAACAGTGCTAGAGTAAAACTAGAACTAGAAAGTTTCGGGTTTAGCTGTGCGTCTTCGCGCGACATAACCTCAAAAATTTTTATTTCTGAAATTGTGTTACGAAATTTGTTTTGATTGCCGTTTAGATTTATTAATTTGCTGTTTTAAATCTAAGTAATATTTGCAATTACGGGTAATAAATAAAAGCTTGTTATTATATCCAATTTACAGTTTTAAAGTAAGTTAGCTCCATCTCTGATTACATTGTGGTGTTAATTTTAATTTTTGATTTGACGTTTATTTATTTAGATTTATCATTTTATTTGTTGTAATTTTAATATTTAAGTATTTTATTGTGTTTATTATTCAAGGTTGATTTCATTTTTGGTTACCTCTAGATGAGTAATTTGCTTTATTGACTTAAAATTATTTTCTTAAATCATAAAAAAATTATGTTGGTAGCCATTCCTTTCATATCAATATTTTGACAGAAACGGTTTCGTTTTCAAGTTTTAAATAATTTCTTATAATTTTAGTAATTATTAAGTTTTTTTATTGCGTTTATTTCTCAACGATTAGTTATTTTTTGGTCACTATTAGGTGAGTAATTAGTTTTACAGATTTAAAATTCTTTTTTTTATAATCTTTGTAACTTTTCTAATTTTGCAAATATTAACTTAGAAATTTTTGCGTTAATTAATGATTCAATCAATTTATTGTTTTAAAGTAGACTTAATAATGAATACAACTTTCCTAACATTTCTTATAAAAAATTTTGATTTTATTGAATTTAGCAAGATTAAATTTAAAAAAAAACGAGGTTGGTAGCCCTTCCTCTGATATTATTATGACAGAAACGCTTTGCGTTGTCAAGTTTTAAATAATGTCTTACAATTTAAACAATTATTAAGTGCTTTATTGTGTTTTTTTCTCGACGATTAGTTACTTGTTGGTCACTTTTAGGTGAGTAATTAGTTTTATTGACTTAAAATTCTTTTCTTAAATCTTTATTATAGTACGGATCATAGGGACATCAATAGGGGGTTTAGAGAAGGAGAAATATGAATAAATAAAGTTGTTTTAATTTTTTAGAAATATTCGGGTTTAGCCGTGCGTTTAGCATACCACAAGCTGTTAAATCCTAAACAATTAAAACAACTTTATTTATTCATATTTCTCCTTCTCTAAACCCCCTATTGATGGCCCCATGATCCGCCTCGAATGATTTTAGTTTTTGATAAAGTGTTAGTTCTAGTAACAGTGCTAGTGTAAAACTAAAACTAACACTAGACCCGAATGTGAAATGTTCTAGTGTTAGTTCTAGTTTTAGTTGTTATTTAGCTTTATATATCAATATAAATTTGTCTTTTAATTTTCAATTTCAATAGATTAATTGTATAGAGTAGTATTATATATCTCCACTTCCTCTCGAAAATAGAATTCTCTGAGTTGCATCCTTGGTTTGAATTAAATTTAATCATAGTGACCGGACGGTAGCACGACAGACGTGTTCGAAGCACGTTCGTACACGTCCGAGAAAGCAAATTCGCTTACCTTGCACTAGCATATACCCCATTGATCATGTTAACAAGTTCAATACTGCACTTGACATACAAAGAGGATGTTCATGTTGCCTAACACTGTATTGAAGACTTTTTTTAATAGTGTTATATAAAAAAGATTTCTTACCTGGTACCAATCTCGGTCCATTGATGGTGTTTAACGGTCCACTTCCGTACTTGACGTGTAATGGGTCTGCGTTGCTGGATACAATGGCAATTTCGTCGAGTTCGTGAGGATCGTGGACGCCACCACCGTGGGTAGCGACAGTGACTCCTCCGCCAGTTCCGTACGCAGATCCTGTGACGAGCCGGCCCGCCGCGGAGCTGTCGTCGTGCGACTGCTTTCGGCTCCTCCACCCAAGGAGACGTTTCGCGGTGGTCATCACGCCATCACACCCTCTCGTTGCCGACGAACCGGCCTTTAAACGAACACCTACAAACGGTTGTCATCACCACCAAATCGCGAATACCACGATTCGTAATTTTCTGCATGTCCCGCAAACCTCCTCCCGACTCTTTTTGACTTATCCGACTTATTAATGTATTTCCAGCGAAAACTGCAACAAATCAAATAAGAAATACTTAAGAATTCTTGTTTGTGTAAATCTGTACAGATTTGTTGGACATCACAGGAAGTAAAGGTGCAAATAGTAGAAACATGCACGAAATAAAGTTGTAGCAGGTGAGTATTGAGAGTTGGGTGTGAAATGGGGTTGTATCGACAGGAACTTATGGGGTCCATCTGAAGGAAATCGTGACCCGAATCAAGTAAACCGTGCTGTGATCAGCGGTCTCTGGCGTGCGGACGAGCTTGTGGCAAAACCGCAATATCCCCAACACGTTAGTCCACTCGATATCCTTTGTCCCAGTGGTGTTTATAAATAAGTTTAACTAAAGTGAAGTTGCCTGAACTCGAGTTGACCGACTGCCTTTACTTCTTTTTTCGACCGACTAACTTTACGTCAAAAGAAAACAAAACAAAAACGTCAAGAAAAGTTTCGACCAAAGAGCTTTTTGTGTTATTTGTTCGACTGTCGTATAAATCCGGAAGCTCTTTGTATCTTTATTACTGTAGTTCCTCGAAATAAGTAATTAAAAGTGTTAACAAATAAATCAAATAATTTATCGTTATAAATAATAAATTTAAAAAAATTAAACTAATGCATAGAATCCTTTATGATCTATGAATCTAGATAGTTTAACCTTTCTAGTTGAAATCAAACAAAACGGTTCGCATAATATTTACAGAACGTGATATTGATGCTGTTGGATTCGTATTTTGTCTGGTAAAGACCGCTTCCGGAAGTAAGTATTGATCGAGGGGGGTTTGTTGGAATTAGCACGTTGAGAAATACATCACGAGTTAAGTGTGTAATAAAAGTAACAAAGTTGCTATTAATGACCCTTAATTTAAAAGTTAAAATCTTTATGTCCTACGGTATAATGTAGAATAAATTTTAATGGAGTATAATAAAAATTCTATTTAAAGAAGATATTGCTTTTATACTCTGTTAAAATAGAAATCAGTTAAAATTATTACCAACATAACAAACTTAAAGTCACAATCGTTTCAAATTTGACATTTAACAACATAATGATTTGTAACTCAAAAATTAAAAACTGGATTAAAATGGTATTAATAAAATTTGTTTATAATAAAACACAAAAACGTAATCCATAAACGGATTCGTTCCAATTATTTCGGATGTTTTGCTATAAACTATTAAATCCTAAATTCTCTTAATTGAAGTTTTTGAATACATTTTTGATTATAAGATTTAAAGTAAAAATGCTAGAAAATAATATTGTGGTTAAAATTTGTTCGTAATAAACCAACAAATCGTTATGTTTAAGCGATTACATCCTAATTGCATTTATTACCAACCTAACAGACTTAAAATGCTAAACGCTTCAAATTTATCGAATTTCGATTCAAATTTTTTAACAATATGATTTTTAACTCAAAAATTAAAAACTGGATGAAAATGATATTAATAAAAAATGTTTGTAATAAAGCGCAAAAACGTAATCCATAAACGGATTCGTTCCAATTATTTCGGATTTTTAGTTAAAAACCATTAAATCCTAAAATCTTTTAATTGACGTTTTTGATACATTTTTTTGTTATAACTTCCAAAGTAAAAATGCTATGAGGTAATGTTGTTCATAAAAATTGTTCGGAATAAACAAACAACTCGTTATGTATAACCAATTATACCCCAACTGTATTTATTACCAACCTAACAGACTTAAAATCCCAAACATTTCAAATTTGACATTTAACAACAAAATGATTTTTAATTCAAAAATAAAAAATAGTGGATGAAAATGATATTAATAAAAAATGTTTGTAATAAAGCACAAAAACGTAATCCATAAACGGATTTGTTCCAATTATTTCATATTTTTAGTTAAAAACCATTAAATCCTAAAATCTTTTAATTGACGTTTTTTAATACATTTTTAATTATAACTTTTAAAGTAAAAATGGTAGGAGATGATATTGTGGATAAAAATTGTTCTTAATAAACCAACAAATCGTTATGTATAACCGATTATACCCTAATTGTATTTATTATCAACCTAACAGACTTAAAATTCCAAACATTTCAAATTTTACATTTAACAACAAAATGATTTTTAACTCAAAAATTAAAATCTGTGGATTAAAATGGTATTCATAAAAGTTGTTTGTAATAAAATGCAAAAACGTAATCCATAAACGGATTCGTTCCAATCCTCTTAATTGAAGTATTTGGATAAAAATTGTTTGCATTGAATCAATCAAATGTTATCCGTAAGCGATTACATCTCAACCTTTGAGTAATTTATGATTTTGCTTTGTTCTATTAAATAGAGAATTATAAAAGGATTGGGTTAAAAATATTATTTGCAATACCCCGTTTATCAATTAATCATTGTTTTGTGATTTTGCAAATTGATGACCACATTATAGAGTTAAAATAATTTAATTATCTTTAAATATTGGCGACAAATATGACTGACAAATATGAAATTCATCAACATATCCGCAATACAAAATATTTTGGTTTAACATTTACCGCACCACAGTTCCCAAATCTATTCAATAACACTCCAATAAACTCCAAATATTAAAATAAAAACGTTGGATTACTTGGAATACTTGAATACTTCGAAAGTTGTTTGCTTATTTATCTGGTGCAACGTTTAAAATTTTTACAAAGCGGTTATTGCTTGTTAGTCGCATAAAGATTCTAAAGTACCGGTTTGTATCCGCATCCCAATCGATATGAGGTCTTTAAAAATTCTGTCTGCCTCCCGGGCGCGCTCTTCGCAGAACGGTATAATGCGCACGTTGAGGCGACGGCGTGCGATGAAACTTTTCTGCTTTTATCAAAACCATGCTGCACCTCGACCCCGTCTATATATTCCGAAAATTTACAGGCCATAAACCAGGACGGTTGGCCTCTTTCAAAAATATCAACGCGTTAATAATCACAGCAACGGTTTCATCCCACAAATTATCGATTTTCCATCTATTGGATCAAATAGACGTTATCTTACAGATTTGATAACTTATTCAAATATAATGGAATGGAATCGCGTGTCTAGTAAACACGATAGAAGTAATCTTGACTAAAACTGGATGAAATCTATCTATTAAATGATATCATCAAATTTCCTATTCATATTATTATATTAAAATTTATTTATTAGTTGTGGATTAATTGAACTAAAAGTAGGACTAGTCACTAGAACTAACACTAGACCTAGAATTAGAAACATTCGGGTTATGTATTGTAATAATAGTGCTAGTGTTAGTTCTAAGTTTAGTTCAAATATTAATGTTGTAAGCGATACTATAAACCATATAAGAAACCATACAACAAATTTCAACGTTGTTGGTGATAAAGTTTGAGCGTTCGGAAGTTTCGAAAGCTTCCAAACTGTTAGAATTCAAGTCATAACGGAGACGTGTATATATAAAGTTACGATGGTCTCTACGATGTGGACACGGCTTTACATGTCATCGTTCTCAATAATGTTCATAAAGCGCGTCACGACGCCCGGTAGACGTCTCTCCAGGAAACTTAATCGATTATGCTTTTGGTACGCGAAATTCCACGTTGACTACCTACATCTTAAATTCATTCCGTTAACTTTTAGGAGAATATCATCATCATCACCTATCTCAGTATGTAACCAACCCAAACATTTAGTTCCTTGGTTCTATTAGCAATAATTCTAGGTCATCGACACTTCATAAAAAGTGAACGATCTTCTGGAACGAGAAGACGTCTACGATTTTTATTTTAGTTCTTTTAAGAAAACTGCCCTCGATAAAGAGAACTCTTTCCGTTTTTCGACTGAAGGGGGAGAAGAGAGGTTGGGTTAAACTCCGTCGGATTACCAACAACTCTTCCGACAAGTTTAAATGGATTCGGTAAAGTAGGCGACTTCAGGGATGGATACATTATTCACTTGCTATTACTACTATTACCGTCCCGTACTGTCAAAACTTGTTCGTAAAATTTCGAACTTCATGGCGGTTCCTCCTTGACGTACCGGAATAATTTTAAGATCGACAAATACGTAAACCAATAACAACCATGTTACAATCGAAAGTAACTGCAAATTGAAAAATAACAAAGAAAGTCGAGTTTTAACGCGAAAGTTGTGTAAGATCTAATTACTTTAAGTTTGCTAGTATGTCTCCAGTTTAGTTATAATTTTAAAATAATGACTTTCTTTGAAAAAATCTAAAATTCGCCATTACTTAAAATCGAGATGTTTTTCACAAGATTGATTTTAAAAATTCTTTTCTAAATACATATTGGAAGTTAACGAATGAAACTTTTTGAGGTTATAAAAGGAAAATTCGTCTTTATTTTGGCTATAATTACAACTTTATGGGATTATTAGTTTCGTTGAAAAAAAATCCTAAATTCACTTAACCTAAAATAGAGGTTATATTTTTGATGTAATTTTAAAAATTCTTTTCTAAATAAATATTAGAAGTTAACGAATTAAACTTTTTGAGGTTATAAAAGGAAAATTCGTCTTTATTTTGATCATAATTACAAGTTTGTGAGATTATTACTTCCTTTAGAAAAAAATCATAAACTCACCATTACTTAAAATCGAGATTTTTCGACATAATTGGTTTTAAAAATTCTTTTCTAAATAAATATTGGAAGTTAACGAATTAAACTTTTTGAGGTTATAAAAAGAAACTTCGTCTTTATTTTGGCTATAACTACAACTTTATGGGATTATTAGTTTCGTTGAAAAAAATTCCAAAATTCACTCAACCTAAAATTGAGGTTATATTTTTGATAAGATTTTAAAAATTCTTTTCTAAATAAATATTGGAAGTTAAGGAATGAAACTTTTTGAGGTTATAAAAGGAAAATTCGTCTTTATTTTAGTCATAATTACAAGTTTGTGGGATTATTACTTCCTCTGAAAAAAAAATCATAAACTCATCATTACTTAAAATCGAGATTTTTCGACATAATTGGTTTTAAAAATTCTTTTATAAATGCATATTGGATGTTAACGAATTAAACTTTTT